GTGCAAGAATTTTTTTTCCGCCCAGGGGAATAAGACAGATATTTTTTTCCTGTAAAAGTGCAGCGCAAGATTTTTCCCAATTGTGGAAGTCAAGTCCGTTCTGCGGACCTCTGAATGTAAACATTGCCCAAATTTCGAATTTTTCTGAATATAAACTCTATTTGATATTAATTTAGAAGCATAGCGGACCAAAATGGTGTTAGATATTCAGACAGTACATCATATTTTAAAAAATACAGCAGTTCAAAATGTAAACAAACCGTTTGTTTACATTACGGACTTGACTTCCACTTTAATTAAAGGGTCGTACTATAAATTACCGACAACAAACAAATACATACTTTCACTGTATTCTGATAGTTATTTGTATGAATGCATGGCTGTTTTGAGAAAACACAAAATATATATTTGGATTTGATTCAAATCATATAGCTAGTTTCTGTTTGTACTTTAGTACTAAATTGAAAATACTATTAAACATTTTAGACACATATATACACATATACACACACATATACTGTACACTTTATAGGATTTGGTATTTATATAGATAATAGGGTTATAATTTTATACTTAAACTTTTCTTTCCTGCAATACTTGTTATCTAGCATGCCTACCCCGCCCTGGCTATGCCTCTTTGCTAGTCCAATGCCCTATGTGCCTGATATACCTTGTGTTACACATAGGGGCAAGCGTGAGCACCTTATGTTACACATGGGGCAGGGGTAAAAACATCTTAACATCTTACACTGATGCGTGAACACCTTTATGTTACATATAGGAGCAGGGGTATAAACCTTATCTTACACTGATATAGGTGTGAAGACCTTATGTTACACATAGGGGCAGGGGTATAAACCCTATCTTACACTGATATAGGTGTGAAGACCTTATGTTACACATAGGGGCAGGGGTATAAACCTTATCTTACACTGATATAGGTGTGAAGACCTTATGTTACACATAGGGGCAGGGGTATAAACCCTATTTTACATTGATATAGGCGTGAAATGTTGTGAACACCTTTATTTTACACAGGGGTATAAGGCGGCATTTGATTTGGGGGGGATTAGTCTGTGCAAGAATTTTTTTCCGCCCAGGAAGACAGATATTTTTTTCCTGAAAATCGCCAGATTTTTTCCCAATATATTTCGCGGCAGGATATTTTTTTTTTGCCCCGCATAATAACTGCTTACAGTAACTCATATAGCTATCATATAGCTATCTCAGAGACGTTAGCCAGGGTTTTCAGTCAGAGGAGGCCGAGCCTGAATCCCAAGAGGGGCCAAGGAATTTTCACTGTGCTTTATTTTATATGGTTATGTCTTAATGTTCCCCACACTAAAGCGTGCAGGTTTACTTACAAAAAATGTATAACTGCACCAAAACCTAAAGCATGCAGGGATAGAGTAGAGTACTCGAAAATGGGGGGGTACAGTATATGAATGACCTGTAACCTTGGGGGGTTCAGGGGCATGCTCCCCCGAGAAAATTTTAAAATTTGAACCTCGGAAATGCTATTTCCTGCATTTTCAGCCATGGATTCACCCAACAACTTTGCTGTACTAAGCCTAAGGAACACTTACTGTCCTTTATTTTAAACAAGGGAAAATCACAAAATGAGCTTTGATTAATATGTAATAAAACAAGATTTCAATAATGCGATTTTTAACTGCCCTCCGAAACAACAATGTTCCACCAAATATAGCTCTGTAACTTTTCAATTGTTCATACAAATAAATAGCTTGTTGGGGATCGGGTTGCATCCTCTTCAGAAATTTTTTAAAATCTAGACTCTCTAAACTGGCATTTTCGCATTAAAATCATCGTATATACAGTACGTTCAACTTGCATCCTGTAGATGGGCCTTTGAAGCTTAATAGTTTGGAGCTATGTTATCAAAAAATGCACACAGACTCAACCATCCAAAAATACTTTTTCTACCATGCATATTAGATATGTATAAATAATTTATAAACTTGTACATATCTTAAGCCCAGATTTTCTCAGGGGGGGGGGCAACAGTTTTGCCAGGGAACGCCACTGGCTATCGTATGTTATAGGCTCTAAAGGCGCCAGAATCCCTGTGATGTTGTCCACTGTTCACCCAGTGTTCTTTTAAGCAAATGTATACCTGCTCAAAAATGCAAAATCTTGCAAGCCTGTGGACACAATACTGAAGTGAAGGACGTCAGTAGATTTTCATGTAGGAATTTTTTTTGAGCGCTTTCTTTTGCATGATATTTTTTTCCTCGATTGTATGCTGCATGATTTTTTTGCTTTCTCCTTGGATTGCAGGAATTTTTTTTTTCGAAATCTTCCAACCCCCCCCCTCAAAAATCAAATGGTCCGCCCCTTAGAATACACAGTTGATTGCGACTAATGCGTGTATTGTAATTATGCACAATTATACTTATAGCGACGCACGAAAGTATATGATCATGTTATACACCACTTTTAAAAGAGTTCAGATGGCTTCCTGTGCCAATTGTAGGCTATTGCAGCGCCACTATGTCCTAACTTATATCTCATCCCAATTTATAAAGCGTCAGATGCATCTATATATATATATATATATAACCATAAAACCGGGAATTCAACGGACAATTTATAACCATAAAACCGGGAATTCAACGGACAGTTTTATTACAAAATTGTTAGTCTATGGAATTCTCTCGACTCCTCCTTAAAACTTCGCGAGTCAGTTGATTCTTCTAAACGTTGTTTGAAAACGAAGTTATTGAATGAGTTTTTGAACAATTAGGTTCTTAGTCTTAGACCCCGTTTACACGGAATTTGATTTGGGATCGGTCTGAAATTCGTCCTTTTTCGCCTGTTTACACGCGAATTCGTCCTGTTAGGCCTAGGGGAGTCTCAAATTCGTCCGGTTCCACGAAAAAGAACGAATTTCAGTTCGGTTCCAAACTCGTCCGGTACCATGTAAACGGGGTCTTTAATACGTACTCATAAAATTAACTTGTAATTGTATTAATATTAATAGTGTATAGTTATATTATATATTTAGTTATTCTGTAATTATGGGGAAAGATAATAAAAATATCAATCAATCAATCAGTCAACAACATATTTGCTAAAACTGTTAGCCGGCAGACTGAAAGACTGTTACTGTTGTTTAATATTTTAGATTTTCGTAAAATTTTTTCCACTAAGACTATCCTAACGCCCATGAACAGGTGAAACTTTGACAAACAATTTAATTATTAATGCGATACTTTGTCACGCAAACTTACCGTGCCATGACGAAGTTACCGTGTGCCACAGCGCGTCGCATGTTATAACGTCCTAAAATTTGCCACTTAGTTCAGTTCTGCTGTCGACGCTCAGAAAACAACAAAAAATTGGTCAACCCGAGTTTGTGTTCTCTCATAACAACAAAATGAAACGCTTTCTTCGAACAGCGCTCATGTCTGTGAGATTTCTGTTCATGATCTTGTTTCCACTTGCAGTTGCGATGGAACAAGAACGCTGCATGCCTGAGGATCACACGAACGTGGCAATTCCTTTTCGCTTGCTGTATAGAGGTAAGTTTAATTTTTGTTTGAGGAATTAAGTCCTTAACCCTTAAGCCTGGTTCACACGATGAAATAAGCATAAGCAAGCGGAACCTTTGATGTAAACATAAGAAGAACAAATGTTGCGTTCTTCTTATGCTTACGTTTATGCGCATCAAAGGTTCCGCTGCTTGTGCTTATGCTTATTTCATCGTGTGAACCGGGCTTAATCTTGCTTCTAATTGATACAACTATAATCTATATATTGTTCTTTATTTTTAACGTTTCCATGTCATTTTTGCAACAATTTTAGTTATCCAGCTATTTTCATTGCCTGATAAATATTCTTTTCGTTGCAGATGTTTGCCCTTTGATAAATAATATTTTGTCTGAAGCGACGTATGAGTTCCAGAATCATTGTGCCATGAAGTGTTTGCAATATCCACTCTGTGCTGGATACAATTTTAAGAAAAAGCACCAGAAGAAGACTCCAAACTGCCAGTTAACAAACACGCTGGATCACAACTTTCATGATTGCAACACTGGTGACAAAGGCTGGATATTTTATCATCCCGTTGCTCCAAGAAAGGTACGAAACTGCATGCAGTAAAATATATACTTAAACTTTGCCTGAATTATTTAACAATTATTCGCCGAAGGCGAGGTGATTATCGGTGAATAAAAACCGAGACGAAGTCGAGGTTTTTATTCACGATAATCACCGAGCC